ATTACGACCTGGAAGCTCATGATTAGAGAACTGTTCTCTATAGATTCAGAGTCATTAAAAAAGGAACTCTTTTGTGTTATGGGATAATTCAGATAAAAATAGATACAAAAAATTGGCCCACTTTTTATTACTAGCCAAGCATTCAGCAAATGTAAGGGGAAACCCCCCCCCCCGTTTTTGATTAGAAAATGAATGACAAGTTGTTATTCCAAGAAGGTGCATTATAGGAATGTAAAAAAAAGAACAAGTTTTTTAAAATAAATATAACTCCAGTAATGTCAGAGACAACCATATGGGAGACAAGAAAAGCTTATTAGGAATTCTTATGACGTTTGCAACAATTCTGAAGGAAAAAAACAATGGACATGCTTGGAAAAAAATAAAACTAGAACAAATTTAAGGTCACAGATATGAAGACAAGTATATAAAGTTAAATAACAATTAGATATTAGGAATGGAAGAATCCCAAAAGATAAAATATGTCCAAAAAAAGCATTTCCAGAATGCAAATAATTGAGGAAAAACTTTAGCATATCAAATTAGAAAAGAGAAAAAACAGCAACAAGAAAGAGAGGGAGCAAATTGTTATATGCAAGACCAGAAACCACGGAAGAACTTGCAGGATTACTACAATACTAGCTGAGTGTTTGAGGTACTGCATTTATGAATTAAAGCCTACAGATCAGTCTATATTCCGAAGAGAAAAATGAAGGACAATATACTAAGAGATTTATAATACAGGTAGTCCTTGACTTACAATACTTCATTTAGTGACCTTTCAAAGTTACAATATCACTGAAAAGTATTTTATGATAGTTTTTTACACTTACAACCATTGCAACATCCCCATGATCATATGATCAAAATTCAGACGCTTGGCAACTGACTCATGTTTATGACGGTTGCAGCATCCCGGGGTCATGTGATCACCTTTTGCACCTTCTGACAAGCACAGTCAATGAAGAAGTCAGATTCACTTAACAACCGTGTTACTCATTTAACAGCTGTAATGATTCACTTAACAACTGTAGCAAGAAAGGTCCTAAGATGAAACAAAGTTCACTTAATAAATGTTTCGTTCAGCAACATAAATTTTGGGCTTAGTTGTGATCCTAATTGTGGACTACCTATAAATGCATTAGAACAGCTCAACAATAAGAAAAAGAAGGTAGTAGTAATGTTTTTAGATGCAGAAAAAGCCCTTGACCACTAGGAGTAATCTTTCTTATTAACAGTTTTGAGCAAAATTAATCCAGGACAAGAATTTAAAATTTGGATGGAGAGGATATATCAGTGGCAAATAGCAAAGAGCATAGCGTGTGGTGTCTTCTCTACATGTTTTTCAGTAAACAAAGGTACCAGAGAAAAATATCCATTTTCTTCCTTATTATTTGTAAATGTTTTAGTAGCTTTGGCAGACAAGATCCAGAAACAAATATTTGGAATTAAGATTCAGGGAGAAGAATTACAACTTGAAATGTCATACAAATAATCTAATACTAACCATTATACAATCAGAGTGCTATAAGAATGCTGATGCAAATAATCAAAGTCTTTGGTGAGTTCTCCAGGCACCAAAATAAAAGATACCAAATAAAAAATATTTTAATTCCAGAAGAAAACTTTTTGAAAAAAATCTGGTAGTGGGATCTTTTTTTTAAAAAAAACACAACAGTCAAATGCTTGGGACTTTGTTTAACAATATGCAATAAAGACCTATCTCTGAACAATTATGATAAATTATGGAAAAAGTAAAAAAAAAAACAAAAGGTGGAAAAATCTAAAGCATTCTGGGCTAAGACATATTGTGGCAAAAAAATGAACATACTAGACAAGATGAATTTATTTTAAATGGTACCAATTCCAATCTCAGACAAAACCTTACAGGATTGTCAAAGAATTGCATGAGATTTATATGGAGCAGGAAACACACACACCCCCGGAGACTTAAGATTTTGCAACATTCAGAAAAAAATAGGTAACCTCTCAGTTTCTAACATTAAAGTATATTTTTATCTAAGCAGTCTATCGTGCATGACAATGGATAAAATTGCCAAATAGCACAATATTAATCATAGGAGCTGTCTTTGCCAATGAACATAGATACCTATGGTATAAGGAAAGAAAAGAATAAAATAATTTGAAAAAATGTATTATAGACAAAATTTGGTAAAAATATGGAAGAATAAAAAGTGATGTCAAGAAAAAAGGGAATAGTTTGGGAAAGAAAGCAGAATTTGAAACACTTTATACAAAACCAGTATCATTTATTAGGATACCTATATAAATTATGATTGAATTAGGCCACGGAAATAGAAGAAATAAAAAATGGAACGATACAGTAAATGAAAAATTCAAAGAAATAATCACATAACAATGGGAAGATTTATGGGGAAAAAAGCAAATTTATTCCATATTATAATTTAAGGAAAAATTAGTAGAAATAAGTTTTACTGATAATAATGACCAAGGCAGGGAAATCATATAACAATAAATGCTGGAGATATCGTAACAAAGAAGAAAATATGTAGTGATTATGTTAAAAAAAACCCATCAAAATTACTGGAAATAAATAAATCAAAATATTCAGAAAATCCCAAGAATAATGTTTGAACTGAAACCACAAATATTTTGGGGGGTACAATCTCAGAGCACCTAAATGAAAAATATCACAATTGGAGCTGCCAGAACAAATTTGGCACAAGACCAGAAAAGAGAACCTTTGCCATCAAAATCAGATTGGGAGGCCCTAATTGAAGAATGTGCACCTATAATAGAATTCTAACCAAATTTAAACAAGAATGTGTCCCATATATATGATATATTAACAGGAAAAATTTAGAATATGATTTCTAAAAATATATATTAGGAGACAAAATGTGTACTGGTAATAATCTTCACTGTAAATTATAAATAGGTTACAATCAGGTTTGGAGAAATACCGGTAGTGGGAAGGGAAAAGGAGAATGTGTTTTTAGAATTTTTTTTAATAAGAATAATTTTTTATTTGTGCTTGTTTCTCTTTGTTTTATTCTATTGTCTGTATTTGCTATTTAATATGGATTTTTTTGCATTTTATTATACTATTTTAACAATAATTTCAAATTTCAAAAATTAAACCAAAGAAAGAATAATGTAAAACATATACATAAAGGTTTTTTCCTCAAAAAGAACAAATCTGGACCAATCAGGAATTCAGTATACATCAATAGCAAATTAAGTGATGGATTCTTCTCACTGCTGCTGTTTTGGCCCTTTGAATGCATGATACAGATTGACTGCACTCTATATTTTCCATCAAATCTGGAAAATCCTAATAATGAATAAAATGGCATGGGCAAAAAAATAAGAATTTGAGACAAGAGATGTATACAAAAGCTTATAGGACAAGCAATGACAGGGATGTACTGAATCCCATTTCTTAGCATCTAATAGTTTCTTGTTATGGGCAAACACATTGTTCTTAAATTAAAGATTCCAGTTTCTGTAATGAGTAGAAAATGTAAAAAAGTGGCTCTGGGAGTCTTTTATCACTACATATCTGCAATGTAACATGGCAACACAGTGCTTGTGGATGCCAACAAATCTGCTAGACCCGTGGTGGCGAACCTATGGCACGGGTGCCAGAGGTGGCACGCAGAGCCCTCTTTGTGGGCACGCGCGCCGTTGCCCCAGTCCTAGGCCTTTAGCTGGATTTTATAAAACCTTTTCGTTTTAGGCCTCCGCCACCGTGTGCAAAAAAAAAAAGGTTCAATCAATCAATTTCAACTTCTCGCAGGAAAAAAAAGTTGGAATTGATTGATTGAACTTTTTAGTCCCACCCAGCCTGCTGTTACCATCGCAGCCACGCCCACCCAGTGGGCCACACCCACCCAGTGGGCCACACCCACCCAGTGGGCCACACCCACCCAGTGGGCCACACCCACTCGGCACCCAACGATACATAAGTGGGTTTTGGGTTGCAGTTTGGGCACTCGGTCTCTAAAAGGTTCACCATCACTGTGCTAGACCATTAAAATTATTTGACTTCTGTTTATGTATTTTTTTAAAAAAAATAAGCCAAATCTCATAACACTTGCTCATACTTTCATGAGATCTCATGAGGTTTTAGACATTTTGTTAACATTTTATATACACACATATTCTCACTATTATGGAGAACCCCAAAGTGGTTCCTACTGCCTGAAATGATTCTTAACTCATGATACAGCATCTATGAAATATTCCTCAGTCATAAGCTATTTTTTTTCAAAGATGAACACTCTTGGGGAAGGGGGGGACTTAAGATATTGCAATTCTGTAATCCTTTTGGTTCTACCTTATCCTCTCTACAGCAACCTGTGTTGGAAAGAAATCTATATCCAAACCCCAACTGCAGAAGCTCGTTTCCTGTAACTACAAAGAACTTCCCTCTGAAGTTACAAACACAACACAGTCCGAGCATCCATGTACCTTGGAACAGTTCAATAGCATCTTTAGTCAACAGCCCAAGAAAAAATCAAAACCCCTGAAAGAGGATAGAAGTCCAGAGGCAGCAGGCATCTCTATGGAACCCTGGCAAGCATCTCTTCCACCCCTTCATGCTGTAGGGCACAGTGATATTCCCCCAAGGGCTCATACCCTCCATTTCTCTACAGTGAGTCTTCAACAGATCACTAATATTGCACCAGCCAGCTCTATTACCAGCCGTTTCCATAGATGCCGAATGCAGCTGCATAGGAGTTACCAGTTCTGTCGCAGGTGTCTTGGAGTGGGGTCTTGATCATATGTTAACTTTGTCTCTACATTTCTCAATGAAAAAAAAATACTACTGTATCCAGAAATATACAAATGAATCATATTCAGATAATATACATGTATGTTCTGGTGCCTAATTCTTTCACGTTAAGGAGCATTGGGGAAAAAAATTAAAACCGTAAAAAAAAAAGGTGGGTTTAAGTCGGAATTCCGTTACTAAAAAAAATAGAAAATTTGATATTATTAGAAGTAATATAAAAAAACCCTGTTCACGCACATTTCAGTTATAGTATTCTTTCAATCCATTTGTTTTAATAGCTGTATTTCAGTAAGTCAACAGCCTTTACAGTTCAAAAGATCTGAAAATGGGATTAGCCAAGATGATCAGCCATGAGTTCGTGGAGTCAGAAAGCAAGGTATGCACTTTCAAGAGGCATCAGAGGAAGAATGCGGTATAAGGATATTTTGGAGCAGATATGTATGCATATAATTATCACAAGAGAAGCAAACGTCTAACACTCCTTTGAGTTTTAGTCTGGGTAAAGAAATCTAGAGAAACAATAATTTAATCCCTATAGTGTCTCTGAGTTCACAGTTTCTTCAGCTTGTCGAGATGAAGATACCTAAGACAATATCCTTCTAGCTGATAGAAAGGCACTTGGCTTATTTAATGTTTCCATCACCACTGTTTTTGTTGCCACCTCGCAGTATCCATGTAGAAGAGGTAATGCCCTGCCATTTGCGTCATCAACTAGTGTAGATCCTCAGTTCTCTTTTTAACCATGTTATCCTGGCAGTTAAGACTGGTTGTCGGTTCCTACAGAAGGATTTGCCATCCGAGAGCTGAGCTGCAAATTCTGGCCATGAGCTGGTAGAGCAGCAAACAAGACAGCCAATCTGTACAGAAGGCACATCAACCAGATGCACACCAGGGAGTCTCAGTGGAGTCACATTCTAGCAAGATATTAAGAACTGTGCAGGGAGATCCTGCCACACTCAATGAAGTGCGTGATTCTACTCTGTATTTTAGGTTAGTCAGTCCTCCAGTCCGGTCTACCTTGAACTGCTCCTGTGAAAAGAAAAATGGCATGTGTTATACAAAAAAGTCAACAATACATGAAAAAAAATACCAACAAGGTATCATTCAATCATGTACATTTTGACCAACATTTGAAATATTCATAACAAGAACTTTGAAACTTGACACTAAAAATACAAAATTACATGGCATCGGAAGCTCCAAGGCTACAAATCGTGCAACCCCTCTATAAATCAGCTTGTGTTATAAACACTGTATGCTTATTAAGTTTAACAATTTTGCATTCATTTCTTTTAAGAACCAGACAGGTGAAAATTGCATCCATTTAGGAAGGTCCGATTCTTAAATACTAGAATCCCATGTTAGAGTTCATTTTAGCAAAAGTCATCATTGCTGCTTTATGAACTATCTGTTCATTGTTTTTCAGTCAAATCACAAACTTGCAAATTTCCAGATTGTGTGGTTAAAAATAGTATGTATATTTCTTTACCAAAATAGAGATAGGAAAGGGGAATGAGGAGGTGTTCCTTACCTTCATGGGAAATCTGTTTGCACTAATTCTGAGTATTTTCTTTTTAACTATGACATACACGTTTGGACATTTTGTCTAGTGATTTAGTCTTAAAATACATAACAGCACCTGCCTTTTATCCCAACATTTAACATTTAAGTATTCAATACATACAGACATAAATATGTGGAGGGATGGTCTTTATCCACACATATATAGATATATATTCTTTCTGTTAGAAAGAAGACCAACTTTAATATGTAAAAATGTAGGCGAAGCAGCAGCAATGGCTTGCAAAGGCTACTAAATATATAAAAACATTTAATGAACGTTCCTCATAAATATTTTTCTGTAACGACACAGTTTGAGAACATTTGTCTTAGTCCTTAGCTAAAAGCACCTTGAATTTTCCATTAACTATTCACTTAGAAAAAGAAATATTGCTAGATTTACATCATATGCATGGTTTGTTTTGACTATAAAGCATGAATTCAAATATTTTAAAGATGGAATTATCTTATAAAGAGAGAATATTGGAGAGAAACAGATTTCAGATGAAAGTTCATAATGGGAAGTGATGTTCATTGTAAATGACACTTACAATTCCATTATAAATAGAATTTGTGTATACATTCCATTTTATGTGTTAAGAGTTAAGAGCTATTATTTCCAGAGTATTGAAAGAAAGACATCAGAATCTTTATTTCATGACATCCTGACTCAATTATGTTTCTAGAATAGCCTCCTCCTCCTATCCCCCCAATACTATAGTACAGACATGTCAAACACAAGGCCCGGGGGCCGGATGCGGCCCGCAAAGTGGTTTCATGTGGCCCGTGAAGCCATCCTGGAAATAGTGAGGGAACGCCCCCCTCTGCCTTGGCCCTGGCCCAGGCCAGCTGGGAGCCAATGTACAATTTTGTGGTGGCCATCTATGCTGAAACGCATTTAGTCTTAGCTCCATAAGCCCCCCCCCCCCGCATGGCCTGAGAGGAAGAGTGAGGCTCCTCCAGTGGACCATGCCTTGGCACTTGCCCTGGTCCCACCCCCTTCTGCCAGAGACCCTCAGATCTGTCCCACTCCTGCCCAGGCCCCCACAGGCACCCTTGACGTGAACGATGTAGAGCTGGCCACACCCACCCAGTAGGCCACACCCACTCCATCCACGCCGACCCAGTAGGCCGCACCCACCTTGGCCACAACCACCCAGCCCTGAGGGCAACCACAATGCTGATGCGACCCTCAATGAAATTGAGTTTGACACCCCTGCTATAGTAATAGGCGGGAAACCTATAGTATTGGCTGGTGACTGGGCAATGTGTGGCCCTCTGCAACTTTTCACCTTACTACTAGTCATGTTTGCCACAGCAATTGGAAGTTAAATGTTGAATCACATTTGAAGATGCAGATTTGCCTACTCTTTGTAGATGACAGGTAACTGATCAAGAGGAAGCAAGAATTTCTTAGCTTACATCTAAAGACAACGCTTTTCAAGATTTGCTTTTCATCCTCCTCCCCAATGAGAAACTCCACCTGTTTCTGGGAAGCAATACGCTTCTGATCCCTTTTGCGCCAAGCTGGATCATGCAGATGCTGGAATGTCTTATATCCACTTGTAATACCTGAGGGTCGGAAGAGCTGAAATGAAGAATAGTGGAGCCAACGTGATTCTTTGGGAATTGGGGTAAGAAGTTTACAGCAGTCCCAGATCACACTGAGCACCTGAACCCCAAAGTCCCAATTCCCACTACAAATAAGATTCATCCTCACTTGAAGTCCAGCTGCTCTGAAGCGGCGATAAAATTCATCATCTTCCCTGCCCCAGCCCCAGAAACGGTTGGACATTCCATTACACTGAAACAATAATAATGTTGTTAATCCCACCGTTTGTTTTCCTCTTAATAAGATTTGAGATTTGAAAGATTAGAAAACGCAGAACTATTCTCTCAATCTTACATTTCTAGGATTATGGGCCTTTTTTCCTAGATATGCCTAATAATAATAATAATAATAATAATAATAATAATAATAATAATAATAATAATAATAATAATAATAATAATAATAATAATAATAATAATAATAATAATAATAATAGTAAAGTTGGAAGGGACCTTGGAGGTCAACCCCCTTCTCAGGCAGGAAACCCTATACCATTTCGGACAAATGGCTGTCCAATCTCTTCTTAAAAACTTCCAGTGTTGGAGCATTCACCGCTTCTGGAGGCAGGTTGTTCCACTGGTTAATTGTTCTAACTGTCAGGAAGTTTCTCCTTAGTTCTAGGTTGCTTCTCTCTTTGGTTAGCTTCCACCCGTTACTCCTTGTCCTGCCTTCAGGCGCCTTGGAAAATAGCTTGACTCCCTCTTCTTTGTGGCAGCCCCTGAGATATTGGAACACTGCTATCATGTCCCTCCTCATCCTTCTCTTCATTAAACTAGACATACCCAATTCCAGCAATTGTTCCTTATATGCTTTAGCCTCCAGTCCCCTGATCATCTTTGTTGCTCTTCTCTGTTGCCAGAAAAAAAAAATGAAGCCTGTATTTTTTTAGCAAGAGCACAACCAGAAGGGTCTTCTGCCTTTTGCAAAAAGTAAAGGAGTTGCTTCCGTTAAGAAAGAAGTCGTGACTTACCATTCGATAGTGTTGCTTGGTGAGTAGCAAGATGCCCCCTACATAGGTGCTATAATGATAGAGTGGGTGCAGCTCAGGTGAAGCCACGTGGAAAGGACCAGCTGCTGGGAAGCTGTAATCCAATTCCTCATTGA